GCTGGCTGGGGAATTCTGGGAGTTGAAGTCCACACATCTTAAAGTTGATAAGGTTGAGAAATACTGTATTAAAGTAACTGAGTCACTGTACTCAACACCAGTAGTTTCATATATCTCACAAGAACCTATGGCACATAGTTCTCAACTATGCAACATTCAAAACTATAATGTATGTTTTCACAGGTATATGTTCAGTTGCAATAAACATTTTTGAATTTTACTTTGGAGAAATCTAATAAGTGATATGTGGAACTATATTTGGACTCATGTGAGTTGCAACATGTAACAAGTGTATTTCTATTAGATGAAAAAAAAATCAACTGGAAATATTGATAACTATATATTAGCCATGTCTACTCAAACTCAGGAAGGATCAGCAGAAGTATGGTCTCTTGTTGAATTATTGCAGCCCATCTACCTTTTTGTTCTCTGTTTCCAGAAGATGTCAGAATAATATACAGTACCCATCTTTCTTCAGTCCAACAAGGATCACTGTTGTGAATGCAAAACTCTCACCAATATTTTTCCAGCATAGTACATGTGTGGCAAGCTGCTACCTATTTGTAATTTGCATCCCATAATACCCACAAGCCTCAAAAGGATTGTTCAGGCTTATCTGTTAGCCTTGCCACATTTTCTGAGCCTGAGATCAGTAGGATCATCAATGGTCTGAAAGGACCACAGGGCTGAATCAGTTTAGCAATGGCTTTGATCCCGATTTTTTTTTTTTTTAAGAAGTCAGTATTGCGATTGCGTCACTACATGAAATTCCTGTGTCCAGAGAGATTTTCCCAATGAGTGAAGATATTCTGGTGGGCAGTTTAGTGTTAAATTGTTTGGAAAAGAATGTGGGGAGAGTGTGGTTATATGCGCACTCGCTCCAGGGAGCTAAATGTTAGGGTTAGTGACGTGTGAAGAAAGGTTACAGCAGCAGGGACCCCCAAACAAGCTGCTCTTACCAATTGGATCAAACAGCTATGGGTTTTCTGACTGTCCCTGAAGGACCATCCTTCTTCTTCCATCAGTGACCCTGTGTGAGATGGGTGTGTTCCTTCTACGACTCTGAAAGGCATTTCTAGTAAAAAGATAAATATCCTCCTTGCAATTCTTGGGCTTTGGGTGTTCCTTACTCTGGGAAAGGATTTAAAGCTGTCTGCCAGACTCGTGGGCTGTTACAACAAGACAGTGCCACAATGCTGAGCTCAGGCCTGCGGATTCCCCTCCTCTCCCTCCTCCTCCTGTTGCTCTCAGCGATGGAGCTGAGCTGGTCCTTTACAAATGAGGAAAAGCAGAAGATTGTGGACCAACACAACCAGTATCGTTCCATGGTTTCTCCTTCAGCTGCAGACATGCTGAAAATGGTAAGTTGGTGGTGGTGGGCTTTGCTGGAGGGAGGGAACTCAGAGGTTTCTATCTCTTATCTTACCATGAATATATAGCAGCTTTTCTTGGGTGTTATAAAAATGAACTTTTTAATAAAAAATCCCCCTTTTTTGGTGCTCCTCTGTTCACTTGGTAAAGAAAAGAAAGGTGAGAAATTTGAACTCAGTGGCCAGTTAAATGACCTTTGTAGACATGCCTAGTGTATTCTGGTGTACTTTACAGGTTAATTGCTTTTTAAAACAACTGTGACCTATCTGTGTGCAAAGGGTGTGTGGGGTGGGGGTGGGGGTTCCATATAGTTTTTCTGTTCATAAGCCAATGTTCTCCTTTTGGAATCTACAGAAAACTAACTAATCTTTCTTCTGGAACTATTAAATAGAATGATCCTCTGCTTCTTATCAAATTCCTGCTATGAATTAGAGCAATGATAAGGTATTTTGTGTGAATCTAAGGTAAGGAAGCCAGTGTGGGCCACAGCTACAGGGGTTCTGTACCAAGTTATGATACTAGGGCTGTAAAAACTTGGGCAGGTTTTCATTTTCTTTATGAAGATACCATAGCTATTGGATTAAAATTCTATCCAGAATATCATCTGGGCTTTTACAGGTGGTGGTGGTGGTGGTGTATGAATGTATTTTTTTTCCTTCTGGAAGATATGGTTTCAGCACATGTAACTCATTAGTTGCAGGGAATACAAAGCAGATTTCTTATATCCCAGCTGTGCTACTGTTCTAGGAAACACAATAATCAAACAGAAATTTGGTATTGCTGATTACATTATTTTCTCTCCTCCATGTCTCTCAGTGCAACTTCATTACTGTTAAGGTCCTGTTTGTAACAAGTAGGATAATACCTGCAATGTCATTGATGACAAGGTGAATAACATATTGGCCCATTTCCCACTACACTTGCACGTTTTTTCATTTTTTGTATTTTTATAAATGTCCCCCATTTACTGTTCAGACTGATTTCTCCCTTTCCCACTTTTTTTTTGGTTGGGGAGGGTACAAGATGCAGATTCAGACTTTTAAAGTCATAGTGAAGCAAAAAAGAATCTCAGGATCTGATTTGCTTGCTGCCTTCCTGTTGTAAAGGCTGGAGCATCTCCTAGATACTAGAGGTGTTTGTAAATGAAGGCATACTGTTCTGTTGAGACTTCAAGTAACCACTGATTGAAAACCAGCAGTCCATTTTGAGACTAAGACCATGTTGCCCTGTCACCAGAATGGGATGGCAATTGTTTCTGTAGGGCAGTAATGGATGATGTCACCCTCTATTAATCCCTCACTCACCCTGAAAGCAACTTCAGGAGACATTTTCCTGATCCACTTCCAAAGTACACTTTTCCATGTTATGTCACCTTGAGTTCCTGCCCATTTTTGGTTCGTATGCTTCAATTAATTCAAGTTAACTCCAGCAGTTCATTGGCTTCTGTGATAAGGCAGAAATACCCCTTCAACTGAATCAGTGCTTACCATACTCTTTAAAAACTGTTAGAGCTGCATTTTATCTTGAATTCTATAATAACACAATGACGATAACATTTTCCTTATTTAAAAAAGGTTGCTGGTTTGGAACCCAGCAGAACATTTTTTTTTTTTTAATTACACCTCAGGTAGAAGGATACACTCTCAGGTCCCAAGGAGTCCATACTTATTTGGATTATGTGGAAGCTGAGGTGAAACCCTCCTACTTTGAGTAACCAAAAAAAAAAAAAAACCACAGATGAAATGATACACTACTATACTTTTCTCTATGATGTAAAAAAAAGCACAGGGAAAAGTAGCAAACTCAGGGAAATGAAAATATTAATTTTAAAAAATTCTGCTTTGTTTCAAATGATCAGCCTTTTATTTGCAAGGCAAGAATTATAGCCGTTGTGCTATTATAGCATTTATAATAAAGGAAGCTCTAAAAGATATTAAAAAGCAATAGGCCAGTATGAGATTTTAAAAAGGTGTTATGCCTGCATGCATGTGCACTTTGATGCTTTAACTTTGTGTGTATAAGTGTGTGTATTTTTAACATTTTTTTGTATATATATGTGCACTTTTTGCACACATATGTAAAAGTGTATATGTCCAGGAAGACCCACCCACAGAAAGGAAGGTGACTGGTCATTGCTTTACTGGAACCGAAAGACAGGACAGCACAGCAGCAGGGAAACTGTCTGAAGGGAGAATGTGGTAGCCTGCATTTTGAACTGAATATCTTGCAAGTTGTTAAAATGTCTCAGTCTGAATCCGATTTTCTTAAGCCTTTCTAGAATTAAGGTGGCATGAGCACAGGACGGAAGCAGTTAAGCAGTAAGTGCAGACATGCCCTAAATCCATCCTTTTTAAGCTGTATTGATGGAGAGCTGCATCAACAGAGAGCTTTGAGCAGGTATGAGTGAGGTAAGAAAAACATGGAGGGGGAGGCTTGGTAGAGGAGAAATCAATCCTTGGCCAGAAAATTAATTCAAGTAGAAATGATTTGTGGAGAGGATTTGAGTAAGACATTAAGTTGGAGTAAATTGAAAGGGCAATGATTGGTGTCTGCTAATGGCTGTGGCTCAACCGCTCCTCTGCCTTGCAGGCTCTGTGGTTTTCAGCAGGTCAGTTCCCAGGAGTCAAAGTGTATCTGCAGTGGAGTCCCGAGATCAGGTGTCCCGAGTACTGACTCTTGTGGATGACAAGAGTAGAAATGTAGAAGAGAGTGGAAGATTACAGGGCAGTGGCAGATTTTGGGGGGCTGTCTTCTCATTGCTGTTATTAATCACGAAAGGAGAAAAATATACCCATTTCCTTTCATCCAAGGGGGCATAATCTTTTGGTGATTGAAGGCTACATGTAACTTTCTTTTGTGTGTGTGTGTGTGTGTGTGTGGTGGGGGGAGGTAGCAGTGAGTGGGTGAATCACATCACAAACATAGGCGGTGCTGGATTTTTCCTTCTTTTTTCTAGTCGGGAGGGAAAAGTAGGGACTTTTCTTTGATTTTTCTAAAAAAATATATCTGTGAGTTATTATAAAAGGAATACGTTTCTCAGGATAATATAAACACCATATGAAGGCAAGGACAGAGAACAGTGGAACAGAATAAATAAAAACCAGGAGCCACAATAGTAAGGGCAGTTAATGCGACATAAAATTCCAATAATTAAGTGGTAAGAACACCCCCCCCCCAGTTCTAAAAAAACCTCAAAAATGTGTTGAGACTATTTTTAAATGTGTGAAGCCTATTTTAGGTCTTATACTACACCATTGAAATTCAGAGTAGTCAGATTTGCATGGGCCATAAAAAAAGGGTGTGAAGACCCAAGCTGCATATTATCATCATAGGATAACATCTTCCCTGACTAGCCCAGGTAGCAATCTGATAGCCACGTTTTGTGAAAACGAGAAAAGCTGCTACCCTGGATCAATCCTTTCCTCTTATTAGAACTAAATATAGTAAGTGTGGCTGACAAGGACATTTGCACACACCTAAAAGGGGGTGGAGCTTCGATCATATGGTCCTGCCAGCCATCTTGACTTTGTTGACCCCAGTGGCTGGCAGTTACCTTTTGTTTCCTTTCTGCCCTAAAGCACGAGAAAGACCTATAACGGTGCTCCTTTTTGCTGAGGGGTTTTGTGAATGTGAGGTGTGCTGCGGGTGTATTGCATTCAGTTCAACCGTGCTTGCCACCCAGATGGGGACAGTTGCTAGAATTCTGAATGAAGCCGTGTCAGTTCAGGTAATCAAGTAACACTGTGCTTAAATAACACTCCTAGTACCAGCCTTTATGCAAGGTGGCCCCATTTTCACAGTAATGACTTTGCTTTCCTCAAATGCAGCACTAGAAGTTCTTGGGGTGGCACTTTTTGCTAACGCTGCTTCCCTCAGTCCCAGATGTGCTTGTCAGATGGTTACCTTGTCAGTCTGTATCGGAGGTATTTATTTTTCTGGATTCCATGGTCAGCTCCTCTTCCTGTAATGAATTCCTGCTCCAAAGCCACGCTTTTTATTTTGTTTGGGTCAGTAAGTGCTAGTTGTCATGGAAATGCTCACATACATTGAGCTGTGCTTGCCAAACCACATTTAATGGAATGAGAAATGCAGCTGTGAATGCCCTACATCTGGGTGTGCATTACAGAAAGGGGATAATGCACCCAGCCTGGATCTGCATCAGCATCTGGATGATCACATCTCCATCCTATGAGTTTAAAACAGTTTCACCTGCAATCGTCAATACTCCAGCCTCAAATATTGCACATTTCATGCTGGAATTGGAGCAAGATTATCCAGTAGCTGATTAATCTGTTTAATAGGAAAACATCATTATTTATCTAGTTGGCTGGAACAGAGCATGGAATATATGACTACTCAAATGAAGCCCTCACCTTTTTTTACATCATGCATGCACAAGGCTCATAAAAAAGGGAGGCTTTGATTACATGGTTGCAGCTGCTATCTTGACTGTTTTGACCGCACCCCACCCCTGTTCTAAAAGTGTACGTGCTGCATGGGTGAAGAAGAAACAAAACGAGACGCTGATGGGAACCCAAAAGGGTCTTGGATAAGGATCTTCACCAACCATCCATTACTGCTTTCAGAACTTTGGGAAGTGGCAGTGGCTACAATACGTGGGCTAACTCTCGTGCAATGGTACTATAAAATGCCATTTCTAAAACAAATCAATCAATCAGAACATTTCAGAACAGTGTCACACTACTTTTCTGCACCTTCGGTCCTTCAGCCATGTTTTCATTCATTTAACCACTGTTTGCATGTATATTTAAAACATTAAATGACACATGTTTAAAACTGTGAGGATGGCTTTATTGAATTTGGAAATCTTTGGGATAGTTCATTTACTTTCTGATTTCTTCTGTAATTATTCTGTCTGAATGATAATAGATTTTGCTTGGACCCTCATTTGTATAAAGCTGGTTCAGCTGATTATGTCTTTTATTGGGACCCAAAACTGCAAATGTTGTTTCTGCAAGGATGGATTTTT